TAAGATCATTTAAATAATTTAATGAATAAAATTAAGTAAAATAAATTTTAATTTGTATTAAGAATGCATGAACTGTTAGAAATATACACTATATTTAATGGAAAAATTAGCCGAGTCACAAGATTAACTCTTTATTATTTTAAATTTGTATTTTCAATGGTTGTTAATTGTGTATTTGTCTAAGAATACACTATTCCTTAGAAAATATTTCTTAATTTTTCTTTAGCAATTATATCAAATATTATAAACTAAGTAATAAGTATAACATTTTAAGCTTAAAAAAAAATTATTAAAGTAATAGGAATTTTATGTTTAATTGGTATTATTTCATTTTTATATTATTCTTTATTAGTTTCTATTTCTTTAACTGATTCTTAAGCTTCCAATCAATGGTTATTATTTTATTCAATAGGTATTTTTTTCGACACGTTTTTAATTGGTATAAGTTTGTCAGTATTAAGATATTTTGTTTTGATTTCCTCTTTATAGTTTATGGATTATAATAAGTATATTAGAATTTTCAGAACATTGTTTAAGATATTAAAATTAGGAAATCTAGTTAATGTAATACTTTAAAATTAAATTATAGATTGATAATATATATGTTATTTAAATTAATTAAAATATTATTTAATATATTTTTACAAAGAAAATTTTACAAGAAAATTAAAAAAAATAAATTACAAATTGATATAAATAAATTATTATATATTATTTTTTATTGATTTATTTTATATATATTTTTTATAATTTTATATTATTTTTATTTTATTTAAATTACAATTTATTTTTAATTTTTTATTATATCTTTATAAATAAAAAAATATTTTATTTTATTTTTTTTAGACACAACACTGATAAAGTTTTGCAAAATAATATATTAAATATATTAAGTATTAATTACAATCTTATTTTATATGATATTTTTTTTTATTATTTGTAAATGTTCTTAATTTTTTTTATATACTCAATATATAAATTAAAAAGCGATTTACATTTTCTGATATTTTTTTTATTGATTTAGTTTTTAAAAATAATACAGAAAAAATATAAATCATATATTAAGTAATTTTATATAACTTAATTTAGTAAATATATTTTATATTTAAGATCTTTTAAGCTGAACTAATTATTTTTAAAAATTTTAAATTCATAATAATTATTTTTATTAATATTTTCAATTAAACTATTCCTGCATTAATTTTACTCTTAAATTATCTAATATCTTAATAAATAAATATATATTTTCCACATGCTTTAAATTAAAATTTATTATTTCTATTTATTAAAAAAATTAAAATTAATAAAAATCATATCAATAATATTAACTGTTTAAAATTTTACTTAAAATATAATTGCAAAATTAATTAAATAAATTAAAATTTCTATAATAAGATTTTTTTTTTGATATGTAAATAAAGTTCTTTTAATTATATAATTTAGTTTTTAATTTATTTAAAAATTTTGATCATCATTATTTAAATAATTTTTATGCTCTTTTTTTTTATTTTTGTTTTTTATACTTTTTAAAAGATAGTAATAAAATTATAAAAACTTATATTTTATTTTAAGATGTTTTTTATATTTTTATATATCATTTATCAAAAATTTTTTTTATTAAAAAAAATAATTTAAAACACAATAATATTAATAATATTGAAATAATTTTTGAAATAATAATATATTTTTTTTTTTTTATTTAATATTTTTTATTATTTATTAAATAAAAATTAATTTTATCTGATTAATTAAATTCTCATATTGATTACAAAAAATTATTACATTATATTTATTGATTTTTCATTTAATTATTATTATTTTTTGTAATATTACTTTTTGTGTTATTTTAACTGAATTAACTTTAATATGATTAATAAAAATTGAAATCGCTTATATTATCTTCTATTAAAAAAGATTAATAATTTTCTGTTTAATTATAACTTTTAATAGCGTTATTTTCAATTTAATAAGAATTAATATCATTATTTATATCTACATGGCTATTATGATTTTATTAATAGTAGGTTAATTATTATAATTAAAAATTTAATTTATTTCACATCGACTAAAAACATTTTTTTTGATAATTTTATCAAGAAAAGCTTGGAATAAGTTATTAGATTTAATAAATGATTTACAATCTAAACATTTTATAAAATAAGTATTTAATTTTTGTATTCCAATTTTATTTTTTATTTAATAGATTAAGTTTTATACCTTTATTTCTACATCTTTTGACATAAAATTGCTTTTATTTTTTATTTATTCTAGTAAATATTCAATCTACATATTTTCATTAGTCTATATTTATTATATTTTTTTTTTCTTCAACTACATTAAAAAAAAAAATTACTTAACAAACTTCTCCTATTAAAATTAAATAATAAAGCTAGTTGCCATTTAAATTTAATAATTATATTTAAGTGCATGAAAAATAAGCTCTTTTATTTGAAAAAATAGTTTAAATATTATTTATAATTTTTTTTTATTAAAAAAAAAAAAAAGACAATTACTTAATCTCATTAGTCTAACTCAAAACATGAAATATCTATGGAATTTAGAAAATGTTTATATAAAAAGGAAACAATATAACTACATTTTAAGAGATTTACAAAGATTTTTTAATAGAATCAATTAAATTCGGTTTACATTATTTAAATAAATCACAAAATAAATATTATTTTTCATTTAAATATTTAACATTATACTAAATTGTAGGATTTAGAAAAACTAAATCAACTTTTAATCCATAAGTTTATAAAAAGTCACTACAAATAAATTCAATGTTTTTATTATTCCCAAACATTTTACAATTATCAATACAGTATTATAATCTTTTGAAGTCATTATCAACAGCAATTAATATTTTAGAGAATTTCTAAAACTAAATATTTTATATTAAAATTAAATAAAAAATAAACAAATTACTTATATCGTATTTCCACCAACTCCACATCCAGCTTCTAATAAAACTCTGTATTTTTAAAATTATTTGGCAATATAAAAAGCGATTTATTCTGGAACAAATTATTGATTATTATCAGAATCTATTTTTATTAATTTTTATTCATAATATAATATATCATCTTAATTATTTGATTGTGAATTATCATTTAGTGAACCATCTTGTTTTTTAGATTTACTTTATTAATAAAAATCTTTCTTTGAAATAAAGACTAAAGCTTTATATTTGTTATTTAGACTTTTCAAAATTTATATTTTATCAAAGATAATTTAGTTTTCTATCATTTTTGAAGTTTAATTTTATTTTAAATAGATTAATTAGTTTAAATTATATGATTATTGCCCTTAAAATGAATAACTTATATTCTTTTAATATTGCTTTTATAACTAATCGCTTTTTTCGTTATTATGATCATCTTCAATATCTGATTCTATAATTTGATTAGATTTATTATTTAATTATAAACATAAGACCTTTTATATGCAGTTTTTTAAGATATTAAAGCAACTCTTTTAATTATTAAGCTAAACTTCATGAACAGTTTTTTCATTATCTAATATCTTTTGATTCATTTTATATTTAAATATTATTAATATTATTATAATTATTATTATTATTATTAATATTTTTATTATTAATATTTTTATTATTATTATTAATTTTTTTATTATTTTTATTATTATTATTACTTTTCTGTATATATTTAATTTTTATTTTTAATTATATTTTTTTTAATTAATTATTTAATATATTATTTATTATATATAATTTTCTAATTTTTAGAAGATATATATAATTTATATAATTATTATAAAAGTCAAATAAATATATACGTTTTTTATTTATTTTATATTATATCAGTATAACACAAAGCAATTAATTTTTTAGTTTAATTTTTAAAAAAGCTTTATAGTTTTATTAATAAAACAAAAATATTATAATTAATATATTTATAATATTCTATATATATTTTTTTTATATTTCATTTTAATATCTATTATTTTTCTTTTTCAGTTAAAAATATATTAGCTACTTTATTCAGAAACCCACTTTAATTTGTATATTTTGACTATTAATCAATTTTTTCTATTTCTATTAACTTATCAAATAATTAATCAATTTGTATTTTTAGATTTTTTTTATCTTCCTTTTAATTATGAAAATAATAAAATATATTAATGAATAAAATAATAATATATATAAATATAAAAAACATTATTTTTTTACTAATAATTATTCTTTTTCTAAGTTAATTTCATTATTCAGTGTTTCTTATTATTAAATTTATTATTTTGATTTAGTAATTATAATTTCTAATTCAGCAATTTTATCTATATATTAAGCAATCTATTATTAATATTATTAGTCTATTTATAAATATTTATCTTATACAAGTTAGACTTAAATATTTTTGTTTTTAATAATATCTTCCATTTCAGTTTAAAGAGAAACAATTATTTATTCAAGCCCTTAAATTTTAATAAAAAATTCATTTTAAGTATTTTCAAAGTGTAAATTTTATTAATTAATTTCATAATTTAAAGAATTAATATTATTTTTTAAAGATGTTTCTTTTAAAGAAAATTCAGTTCTATTTTCTAAATCTTATTTTGATAAATTTTCAATTTAGTCTTCTAAAAAAAGAATTTTTTCTACAAATTATTAATTTTATTATTCCAAATTTTTATTTTTATCTTAAATTTCAAAAATATTTGTTTCATAATTTTATATTTAAATAATAGCATTTTCTAACTATATTTTAAAAATTTCAGTTTATTATATTTATTGAATATTTTCTTCAGTAATTTTTTTTTCTCTTTTTCCGAAAATTCTATATTTAAATTATTTTCATTTATTTATTTTTATAAACTTTCAATGCTAAAATTATTTTCATTTATTTTTTCTTTTAAAATTACTAATTCATTTGCTTACAATTCATTTTCGCATTACAATCCTTTTATTTATTTTTATAAACAAGACTGATTCTACTCCCTTTAAATATTTTATTATTTAAACTCTTACTATATTTATTATTATTAATAATAAAGTTCTTAAATTATATCCTCTTTTTCTAATAAAATATTATTTAATTCTTAATTTTAATAATCAAGTTCTGTATTTTTATTTTCAAATTATTGTTTTTATTCTATTTATATTATTTTTATGTCTTCTAATTCTTATTCTTTTTCTTCAATTTATTTTTTATTATATTTATATTCTTCTTGTAAAATCTCCATTTCTTTTAATATTTATTATTAGTCTTTTTAAAGATTTTCAATATAACTTTACTAATTAGTAATTTGCAATTCAAATTTTATAATTTATTCCTATTTTTCTTCTAATTATGATATAAAATTGGTTACTATTTATTCTTTTTCTTCGATTTTTTATTATAATTATTATTTAAAATGTTAAATTTGTTCTTCAGATTAGCAAATTATTATTTAAATTTAATTTTTTTCTTATTAAAGCTATTATATTTATTCTTAATATTATTAATTTTGTGATTAAAAAAAGGTAATTTCCTCTTTTAATTAATCTATTTACTCGTTCTTTTATATTATTTTTAAATTCATATTTTATACAGTATTTTAGAGTTAGTTTATTTAAGAATCTTAATCATCAATAATAGTAACCTATTCATTTTTAATTGCTAAGCATTGTTAAATTAACATAAAATGATTTTAAAATGATTATTCTTATATTTATTTAGGAAACAATTCACCTAATTAATGTAAAAATTATTATTTTTCCTTTACAAATAAAAAGGTAAATTTTTTTAAAATAAATAAACTAAATATAAGTAAATATTTACTTAAATTAAAGATTGGTTTTAATCAATTAAAAGATTATTTTTATCAAATAAATTGTCATTTTCATTTTGTAAGAGAAGAATTTCATCAGTAAGATTTTTTTCAATTTGAATAAAATTTTAGTTTTTTTATTAAATTTCTTTTTATAAATTTTCATTTTATAAAATAATTTAATTTAAATTTTAATTTAATTTTTCTATAATTTTTATTTTTTCTTATATTTCTTCATCTTTTTTTATATTATTTCTTATTTTTAATTACATATTTCTATCAAATTTTACAGATTTTTGTTTTCGCCTTTAAATAAAGAAATTTTTTACATTTTTTCTTTAATCATTTTTTCCTAAATTTATATTTTTTCCTTCAAACCTTAATTCTCAATTTTTATTTTTTATAAATCGAGTATTTTGTTTGACTAATCATGCGTTTTTTGTAATAATAAGTTCATTTATTAAATGCATATTCCATCATTTTAAATAATTTAAATTTATTTTTTTAATAATTATTATTAAAGTTCTTTTATTTGAAATTCTAATTAATTAATAAAATTTATTAATGGCTAATCTTCTACTTATACATTATAAAAATTAACATTTTTCTTCAATTTAATTTAATCTTCTTATTAAAAAAATCCTTAATTTAAATCTTTTATTGCTTGATCGGAATACAAATTTTATAATTAATTAAATTGATGTTCTTATAGAGATTTTTCCTTAATTAAATAAGAAATATTAACCTTTAATTAATTTATTAAATGATTTATATTCCAGTCAGATTCATTAATAAAAAAGAATTAAAATTATTTCAAATTTTCCTCAAATTGGGATTTTATTTAAGAATTTATATCCATAAAAAATTAATTTTACTAAAAAAGTTAACTTGTAATTATTATTTTTTCATCTATTTCTTAACTTTTATTATCTTTATTAACATTATTTATTCCTTCTGTTATTATTTTATTAATTTCTTTTTTTATTTCTATTTATAATGTATTCAAAATATAGTCACATATATTATTTTCTAATTGTTTTTGACTATTGTAGATATTTATTTACATTTCTTTTAACTTTTCATGTATTTTACTATTCTAAGTTTCTATTTAGTTTATTTTTTCTACTAAAATTTCATTTATTTTCTATTTTTCATATTATGATGTGTTACTTTTTTATACTGTTTTATTTATAAAATCAATCATTTTTTTTTTGTAAAGATATTAATTTATTTTTTATATTATTGCATTATTATAAAAAAATAAGATTTTTAATAATTTATTAATATTGGATTTATACTTTATACAAATTTTTTAAATAAAAATGTTTATACTAAATAATAATATTTAAAATATATTATAAATAATATATATATTAATATTAATTTTACAC